CCAGTCTGGACACATAGGCAAATGCCCAAGATCATTTTTATTGATATTACATTAATGTAAATGATAAATATAATATAAATTATAAACATTATCATTTTTCCTGACTTTATTGTTAACCTATGGTTATACTTTAAATTTGATTACATCAATTTTCAGTGATTTATATATTGTATTGGCCATGTAAAAGCTATTTACAACTCAGCCATGTGGTGAACCACATTTTTTTTGCTGCACAACTTTTTTTCTTAAAGTATGGGTTAGAATTGATAATTGTCTAGCTCTGTGGTATGCAATATGGTACCCAAATGTGGCAATTTAAATTAAATTAAGATTTCAGTCACACTAACCACATTTCAAGTACTCACTAGTCACATGAAGCTTTTGGCTATGACACTAGACAGCACAAATAGCAAACATTTCATCACCGCAGACAATGGTACTGATAGCTCTTTCCTCACCTCAGAGACAACCTACAGAATCACACGATTGAAACAAAAAATTGTTTTGGAACCATTCACACCGGCATTCTAGACTTCTCCCAATAAAAGCAACAACAACAACAAAGGAAGTTCTATAAAGAGACTTTCAAAATAGCAAAATAAAATGTTTAGCTTAGGGTTCCATTTCATTACCACACATCTAAAAGCTTAGGCTCATGTTCCCCATCTTTTGATATCCCTTGAAAAGAGTACAGAAATGAATGAATCCATCAGATGTCACTCTAGAATTATTGCTATGACAGCGATCATCCAGTGAACTTTAAACTGCAATTAAAATTACCTGTCTTCAGTATTTTACAACCTTTTATATTATCACTGTTACTATCTTCTAAGTCCGTGCTGTTCAGTATAGTGCTATGTGGGGTTTTTAATTAATTTAAAGTAAATAAAATTAAAATTTAGTTTTATTAGCCACATTTCAAGTGCTCAGTAACCATCCATGGCTTTTGGTTAACATTTGGGACAGCACAGATATAGATCATTCCATCATTCCAGAAAGTTCTGTTGGACAGTGCTGGTTCAGATTTTTCATCTGCTTAGCTTTTCCTAATTCACCCCTAAAGTCAATAGGCAATTGTATAAATCTTACTTCATGATGGGCAGACTTGCTAAGTTCTCTTCCATTTCATCTTTATCTTCAGAAGGTTTCTGACCTATAACAACCAGTCAGGGTGCCTTTTGAGCCTGTTCCACAGCTTTTGTCCTGGAATGTCCTTTTACTTTCACTATGAGTAGGACTCTCTCTGACACTTCCGGGGCCTAAGACAAAAAATGGGGAGCCTCAGTCTGCAGCCTTTCCACCTTCTCTTCCTATTCTTGGCCACACCTCCCTCTCAGCCCACATATCCAGTTTTGGTCCACGGACCCAACAAAAGGGTAGGAGGAAGAGAGGGAGAGAAACACATGGGAGAGAAATATCAATTGGTTGCTTCTCACACGCCCCCAACTGGGGCCCTGGCCCACAATCCAGGCATGTGCCCTGACCGGGAATCAAACTGGCGACCTTTCAGCTCAATCCACTGAGCCATACCAGCCAGAGCATAAATAGAATCTTTGAAAGAAAGAATTTTTAGACATTGTTATACGATCATCTTGCTTCCCATGTTGTTGAAAAGTCTGAAGATTCTGGTTCTTGGAGGTTTTTTTCCTGTCATTTTCCCTCTCTGGAAACTTCCAGTATTTTCTCTTAGACTCGAGTGTTCTACCATTTCACAATAATGAAACAAGGTATGATCTATTTTTACCCGGTATTTTGGGAACTCATGTCCTTCAGTTCTGGGAATCATTGTTGAATTCTCTGAATTTCCCCTCTGTTTACTCAGTCTTCTTTCTGAACCTTCTAGTATTCAGATAATGAATCTTTTGGACTGGTTTCCTAATTTTATCCTTTCTTACTATTTTCCATCTTATATTTTTGTTCTACTTTCAAAATGGGAGCATCTAAATACATGTTTATTTAATCTATCTATTATTGGTTTAGTAATTCTACCCTCAGCTGGTATCTCGTAGTCCATGGGTCTTGCAAGTTTCCTCCTTCTCAGGTCTCCTAAGTCATTAACCCTCGGCCTCCTACTTTCCAGCTTCTAAAATGTGTGCCCTTGTCTCTTCTTCCATTTTTTTGTGGACTATATCTTAAAAAATCAAATCACTTACTGTTGTTTTAGTGAACTTTAGAGGGTGGGAAATACATGCATATGCCTAACCAGCTATTTTTTTTTTCTGGAAGTCTTTGCTTTTCTCTACCTCAATTGGATCTCGCTTTTGAGCTCAGCTCACACCCTCTTGAGTAATTACTGTCAGTCAGGATTTCCTCAGTTACTTCAGCACCACATCCTCCTTGGGTTTACTAAGTTCCAGCTTGCTTACATAGAGCCATAGAGTCAGTTGGGTAGGTGTGGGTAGAGGTACTTTTGGTTGTCATCATGCACTCACACCTGTGTCTGTGGTAACTTCTTATCTTTCTCCTGGCCCCTGGTTAATAGTCTGGAGAGATCATGTTTGTAATCTTCCCATTCCAAATCTAGGTCTTCTCCAGGTTTGCAGGCTCTGGGCAGCACGCTGGTGTTGAGGGGACTTGAAGAGCCAGCCTCTAACATGTGCTCCCAGGCAATCCACGTGGTGGACTCTCTCTCTGCTCCTGCACTGTGCTGAGCAGGAGAGAATTTTGTGAGACTTCCTGCTTCTTCAGATTCTCCCTGGGACACAGGGCACAGACCTCTTCTGTTCTTGGCTCCCAAACCTATCCGGAGTCACACTGTTTCACTCCATGGGGGATACTACCCACTGAGTGTATTGCTGATGCACACATAAATATTATGTCCTATGTTTTGTAGGTCTCTGGATTCTGTAGCTTTAAAGCTCAGGTTATAATAGTATCTCAGAAGCCATTTTTCTAAAACTATAGTTTTTGCTGAGAGTTTCAGAAGCCAGTTTACTAACCAAAAGCTGAAAGTTGCGCTCCTGCTCTAGTTTTCTATAATAATGTTCTGAAGACTTGAAGGCGGAAGGCCCTAGCTGCAGCCTGGGAGGGGTGGCGTGGTAGGGCCGGGACAGAACTGCCTCCCTGTGAAGGCTTATTCTAAACTTTGTTGCTCTGTTAGTTATCTTCTGATGTATATAAAGATTTGTCTTTTCACCTGGTGTGCAGTTGGTTGAGGGCAAAGCCATACTTAGAAAGTATTTTTTCAGGAAAGAAAAAACATTTTCTTCACCCTTATAAGTGTGGCCAGCATATAAGAATTACTTCATGGATTTGTTGAAGATCTTAAATTTTGTATCATCATGGCACATGACTGTGACTAGAATTGGTAAATTTGCTGACTGTATCTTAGAAAAGTTCCAAGAAGAGAAAACCAGCATTGAAAATATTACTCTGATACAACTTAAACAATTATATTAATTATATTTATAAAATCTACCTTATACAATTAAGAAATTTACTAGGAAAATAACTGCATGAATATGAAAAAGATGCTAAGATTTAAAAAAAGGACCCTTTGTATGGTTAAAATAATCCCTTTCTAATTTGACTTTTTAATTCAGGTTCATGTTCACAGGTCTCTTTTAGAAACCCAGTTTTGAAGGACAAAGAGGACTAGTTTTCCTTGTTGTTTATTGCCCAGCGCCAAGAATGTCTCTGTGTTCCTTTTTTAGAAAACACAGCTGCTGGTTTCTAGCCTATTCTAGTCACTCCAGACTCAGGTGACAACTGCTGAGGGTGGAGAGGGGAGGCAGGTGTAGCAAAACCCCATGGTCAGAAAAGTTCTTTGGTAACTAGGGTAAACACATCTGTTGGGTGCAGAGACATTTCTGGAACTTATTGTGAGAAGTAGGCAAGAAATTCGTCCTGGGCTACAAAGTTAGGTGTGGCTTTGTGGTCCTTCATAATGGGTTGATAGTGAATTAATTTCATACCATGCCATTGTTGTCAGTTATTTAATTCAAATTGACAAGTATCTTTTTAGTTCCTCCTAAATGCAAACAACTGTGCTAACTCTGAGGGATAAAAATACAATGATGGCTAAAATACTGCTGTATTTTCAGGAGAATTTGCCTTTTGCTTCATTGTTTTTTTCATAACCCACTAGCTATGTTGCTTCCCCAATTTGCAGTTTCTCGATCTCCAGTTCCTCTGGGCAGGATGCAAATGCCTTTACTTCACTCCTAAGGCCCTTCACAACCCAATTCCAGCCTATTTTCCCAGCCCCTTCTGCTTCTGCTTAACATCTTGGTAGATGGTGAATGGACCACACCATCATATTCTCTTATAACTCTGTGCCTATGGTTGAAACTCTTACTTAGTCTTCACAATTTAGCTGAAATGTCATCTTCTCTGTGACACATCCCATAACTCCTCCCCCTTATTCCCAGGTGGTATTAGGAGATCCTCCTTTGTACTTCCTTTGTAACTACCACTATTTGAACCCTCAGTGATAAAATATTGGAATTGTTTGTATCTAGTTTATTTTCTTCCATAGTGGAAATCTCTTGAAGGATGGATTCTGTGTCCTATTTATCTTTTTTTTTAAAAAGGAATGTTTTATTTTACATATTTATTTTTTAATCCTTACCTGAGAATATTTTTATTTATTTATTTATTTATTTATTTATTTATTTATTTATTTAGAGAGGAAGAGAGAGAGAAACATCGATGTGAGAGAGAAACATCGACTGGTTGCTTCCCATACACACCCTTACTGGAGATCAAGCCTGCAACCTAGGTATGTGCCCTGATTGGGGATTGAACCTGAAATCTCTTCATGTATGGGACGACGCTCCAACCAACTGCGCCACACCAGCCAGGGCTGTGCCCTGTTCATCTTTATATCTCCGGCACATGCAATAGTCCTGGTACACAGCAGGCACAGAATTAGTAATGGCTTGCTGAATGAATGATATGACTTCATTTATTTCCTTTACTTTTTTGATACATCAACTGCCAATTAAAAAAAATCCCAGTCTTTATTTTCCCAATTGTTACTCACCAACTCTCTTTCCAGAATGCTGTCAGAAGGGTACCTCAGTGGACTTGCCTACCGTAATGACATCTCCTGGAGCTACGCATCTTATAATGAGAAGGTGGCTGAGGAAAAGGAGGAAGAAACGAAATCTGCTTCTCTTTCCTCTTCCTCTGTGGATGAAACACAAGCTGGAAGTCTCTACCTGAGCTGCAAATCCTCTGGCAAGTTCCTTTCTTCAGTGCATTCAAGAGAGAGTCAACACAGTAGGAACCAGAGAAAGACAGTGCTAGAGACAAACCCCAATCCTGTGTTTGAGAGCCCAAACTTGGCTGCAGTGGAAATATGTAGAGATTCCAGCAGAGAGACCTACTTGGTTCCCCCTTCCTGCAAAAGTATTTGCAAGAATTATAATGACTTACATATTGCAGGGGGCCAGGTGATGGCCATTAATTCAGAGACAATAGATTTTCCCTCCGAGGCCAGTTTTGAATATGGCCCTCTGCTGAAATCATCTGAGATTTCTTTGCCGATGGATGATTCCATTTCTACTCAGCTCAGTGACTTTCCCCAAAAACCTATCCAGCGGTATTCATCCTACTGGAGAATAACCAGCATCAAGGAGAAAAGCAGCCTGCAAATACAGAAGCCTATTTCTAATGCTGTGCTGAATGAATACCTGGAACAGAAGCTGGTGGAGTTATATAAGCAGTACATTATGGACACTGTGTTTCATGACAATTCCCCTACCCAGATTCTGGCATCTGAACTCATTATGACAAGTGTGGACCAAATTAGTCTCCAAGTGTCTAGAGAGAAGAACCTGGAGGCCTCAAAAGCCAAGGATATAGTCATTAACCGCCTATTACAGTTGGCGTCCACTGAAATCAGCACTCCTAGTCTCCATATTTCACAGTATAGCAATGTGAATCCATAGAGAGGATTGCTTCCATTCTTCTTTCTCAGCTACTTACAGCTAAAACAACGCTTCATTCATTTATTCTGAGAATGTGGAGGAGGGGTTTGGGAAGGAGTCCAGAGCTAGAGAGGTAAATGTTGGCTGGAGGTCAGGTGTGAATTAAGAGGAAATCTCATAATAATATACATGGTGAAAGAATGTGGGAAGAGGCACTATAAAGAATGAGTTCAAAGTGAGGATTGTATAGCAATGAAGCAAAAAATAAAAATGATCCCAAAAAAGCAAAGATAGGATTCATTTCAAAGAGTATAGAAATTGAAAAAGAAGACAAGCCAAAGAAGAAGAACACGCATTATTGCAAAAGTAAAAAGCCAAAGGTTTCAGGGTAACAAGTTAAGGATATGCTTATTACTCAAATAAATTCCTCCAAGTTGATTTTTTCATGAGAGAAATGAACTGTGGAAGGCTGATATATTTGAATAAAGAGACAGGTTCAAAAACTTCAAGATATGTTTCTCTTTCCTTTCTATTCTGTATCACTAGATCACTTAAAATATATTCTTTATAAGCATGAAAACAGTAGCAAATTGCAATTCTGTTTTCATTTTTGAATGATTACTTAGCTATAGCTACAGCCACAAAGCACCCACTCAAATCTCCTAATTCTGTTCTCTAGTGGAGATGACATTTTCTAAGTGGAAAATACCACACAGTTAATAATAAACTATTTAGATTTTGCTACATATGATTTTCTTGGTGATACAGACTTATGAATCTTCTTTTTCCTATATTTTCCTTTACACTCTCTTGACCCTTCTGGAGCTAGGAAGGGGTCTTCTGTATCTTGAAAACAAGGTTCCAATGTCCAGGGTCCTATGATATCAAATTCCATAAATTCATGCACCAAAACGACAACTTTATGAGGGTCACACTACTCTACCCCCTTCTTCTAGCTCAGGGATTGGCAAATTATGGGTATTGGTCAAATCTAGCCCACCACCTTTTTTTGGAGATAGAATTGACATATAACATTGTATTAGTTTCAGGTGTACAACATGATTTGATGTTTGTATATATGACAAAATGATCACCACGGTAAATCTAGTTACATCTCTTTTGAACTCCCACGAGCTGAGAATTTTTAAACCATTTAAAAATGGAAAAACCAATCAAAATAAGACTATTTTGTGATATGGGGAAATTATGATATTCAAAGTCAGCGTCTTTAAAATAGGGCTGTATTAGAATACAGCCACACCCATTCATTTATGTAATGCCTATGGCTGCTTTCACATTAGAATGGCAGAGTTGAATGAACTTGATGAAACAGAGAGCCCACCAAAACCTAACATGCTATCTGCCCTTTTAGAGAAGTTCACCAAAGCTGCATCACAGCAGCACTTTGCTCATGCAATGGTTGCTTGATTTAATTCAGCTTTTCTGGGGAAGCTGACTCTGAGATGGAGACGGGTGAGCAAGTTTATTGGGAAGTGTTGGGAACAACCTCTGTAACGGAGTGAGGAAAGCAGAAGAGGTTTCCATCTCAGGCCACCTCAGAGAGCTCTGGTGTTGGGGTGGTCCTTCAAAATAGATCCAAATGAAAATTGGAGGCATGGTTTTGGTTCTCCAGCTCCACAGGAAGGGCGCATCACCTAAGCTAAGGCAGTTCAGTTGAGAGCAAAATTCCCACTGTGGAAACCAAGTGTGAGCCTTCAGCAGCCAAGGTCTGTAAAGCTGCTGGGGGAACAAGGTTGTCATCCAGAAGGAGGGATCTGTGGAGCCAAACAGCGTCTTCTACATGTCTCAGCATTCATATCTATAGGGTGAGTGATTTTTTTTACAATATATAATTATTATAGAAGGAAACCTGATTAAATAATTATTCAGAAATGTTATTCGCTATTTTAAATATATCATAATGATAGCTGCTGTGTTTTATTTCCTTGCTATGTGTCTGGCACCACATGTAGCATTTTGTATGGATTATATTATATAATTCTCAAAATAACCTTATGAGAGAGAGTGCCTTTGTTTTTCTTTTTAAACAGAGGAGTCAGCTGGGCTCAGGGAAGTTAAGTAATTTGTACAAAAACACACATTGGGTGGTGCAACTGGGAGAACTGGATTTGAAAATCCTGGTTCTTAACTACTACCACCTACTCTTGTGTTCATCACTGTGTTTGTCTCATTAAAGACTGCATTCCTTGTGTTTTCAACTCCTATGGAAAAGAACTCAATCTTATGTTACTTCATATTTTCTTTATAGTGTTTTACTTGGTGATATTTACTTGCATATCTTCTCCCCTGCAGAAGATAAGCTTTGATTTATTTGTTTGTTTCTCCATGTCCCAAACAACACTTGCACATAGTAGGCACTCAATCAATATATGTCAAGTGGATAAGTAAGTTTTGGTTGCATTGGGTACTGCATCTGGTGGTCAAAGGGCAAAACTCTAATATGAAAGCCAAATAATCATGACTAGAAAAAAGTGCTATTGAGAGCTCCCCTTCCAGGAGAAAATTGACTGAATAAATGAGCTTAACTTCTTATAGCAAGTTAGTAAATAGTATAATAACATGCATTATAATAAAATATTATCATGGATATTTTTCCTTTTGCTTACTTACTGAGAAATAATTTGTTACAAAGTCCAGACATACATCAGAGATATTGCAGGTCAGTCCTACACTACCACAATAAAGTGAGTATTACAATAAGCCGAGTCATACTCTTTCTGCTGGTAGAGGGTCTTGCCTTTAGTTTGTAAACAATGCAACATCTGTGAAGTACAATAAAGCAAAATGCAATAAAATGAGGTATGCCTGTAGATTGTTTCATTTTTTTCAATGAGCATTTATTTGATGCTGTGTTTTTTTTGGGGGGGGGTGTTGGAACACTGTGTATTAAACATACGTAGGGAAGACACACCTGTGTGTGTGTACACACAGAGGAATAGGCTCTGTTCTCTGCAAGTTTACCGTGTTTTTGGTGAGACCTAGCAAATAACTAGGGAACAAGTACCGAAGCCACTTATTAAGCAAGAACTTGGCAAAGTGGTACAAACAGGAATACAATGATCAGTGATGACATCTCAGTGTTGAAAAGGAGACCTATTAGGAGAAACTGGACAATGGAAGAGCCCAGTGCAGGGAAAGATTCCAAGGAGAAGTGATGAGTCTAATTACTCTTGAAGAACAAGGTTGGATCTAGGCAGATAGATGGGAGAGATGTTCCAGGCAGATGCATGAAAGGGTTTGGTTTGACAGTGGGATGATTATAACTGGAGCTGAATGAATGCATGATTGGTTAGTAATTAGTTTGTTATTGCTGTTATAACAAGCTGGTACAAAATTAATGGCTTAAAACAACACAGACATTATCTTATAGTTATGGTGGTCAGAAGTCCAAAATCATTCTCACTGGGCTAAGATCAAGGTGTTGGCAGGGCTGCATTCCTTGTGGACGTTTTAGTTTTCAATATTATCGTCATAACAAACATTTTTATGTTTCATTCACTCTGTCTTTTTAAAATTATACTTATGATTATCACAGTTTTATTATTGTAAAAGGCACAAATTAAAATCAGTCAAAGGCAGAGAACACAAGAAAGGTCCGAGAAAGTCTCAGAGAGAAAGCTTCTGTCATCCTGAGAGACACATTACCCTTCCGGAACATCAATTTGTGACAATACATTTAAAATATTTACAGCTTTTATTTCCATCGGTAGACTATTGCTCCTTGTTTGGATACTATTATGAATTTTGTGTTTGCTATGACTTCTTCTAAATATCTTTTTGCTTTATAAGTTTCATAATTTAGTGAGAACATTCCTTTCACCATGATGTTGTGCCCTGCCAAAATTAGTAATCATTTTATCCTTTCTAAAGTAAAAACTTTGTCTTCAGAGTTTAAGTTTTTGGCAGCTCTCTCGATGGAGCACACCCACACTTTTTCCCACCCCCTTCCCCCACCCCTCCCCTCACCCCCTTCCCCCACGTTGGTTTTCCTTGCCTGTTTCTCTCCTAAGCTCCAAGGGCCTTTGTTTTGCTTCTGGAACTTGTCTCCTGAGCCCATTTCTTCTACGGCTCAGTTCTTCTACCTCTGTGACTTTCTAGATAAACTTCCTCTTATAGTTTGAGTCTTAGCTCTGAATTCTTTCCTAGCCAGAACTCAAGTACTGAGGTTGCTGAACCGAGGTCCAGTCTGACTCCACGGGTCTAACACCTGGTGCCAGTCCATCACCAATACTTTTAGCATCAGATGAGGCCAGAGAGCTAGGGGGCTGGTGGGTGCAGTGTGAGCTGCTGGCTCCTTTTCCCAGTCAGTCTGTCTGCTCTCCCTGTGACCCAGTCTGCAGGCAGCCTCGGGAGGGGCCTCCCTCGCACGTGAGGCCCAGAGCTCCTTCGGATTGGCTGGTGAGTCTCACCCTCCAGCCTGGGAAGCAATGACTGAGGTAAACTTTGGCACCACAAACTCTGCAGCCATAAATTTCACTTACATCTAGTAAAACACAGGCAGCCAATTAAAGCTGTAATCCTATAAAGTTGCCAACAATCAAGCCAAAAGAATTTTAACTTTTTAATTGAACTTGTAATAGTATTGATGTTAATATCAGATGTTTTATCTTTAACAGAATGAGCACTCAAAGCTTTATTTTAATTACATAAATTGAATGGAAAAAAATGCACCATTGTTGGAATGAACCGATTTTCTCTTTGAAGCATCTGGGGTCATTTAACATCACAAGAAATTCCTCTTTTCTTCATGGCACAAGCATATTTATAATGATTATGTGAGCTTTTTTTATACATGCACAAGGAAGGTTGGAACTGAAAATTAGTAAAATTAATTTAGAATGGGCATTTGATCTCAATGAAAAGTGAAATATCACGTCCCTTTGATCTTTCTCAGGTACAGTTTTAAAATAGCTATAACATTTTTGTCACAGATGTTGGTGCTTTTTCAGCAGATTTGTGTTTTCATGTTGGTAATACTGCGATCGCTATGGCTGATGACAAATGCTGACGAATGTTTTTTCTAAAGTTACACATTCACCATTTTTTTCTTGAGAAATAAAGATTCAGTCCTTAATTACACTTAATATTCTTTCTTTTTTATATACAAAAGGTTTCGTACAAACTAAAATGTATTACCATACAATAAAATAAATAAGTGGTCATAGATTCATTGTGATAAAACTGTGTGGCAAGAATGTTAAGACTTCTCAGACTCTTTTTCCCACATGTGTTGCATATACACATCACTGATAATTTTCTAGGTTTCCCAGTGACCTCACTGTCAGCCTGGTGACACTACATGTGTATCTGTGTCAGGCTGGTAGCACCATGTGTGTGTAAATGAGTTTCTCTTGCTTACATACCTAAGAATCAAATCACTAGGTTACAAGCTATGTGAATTTCAAATTAAGGAGATAAATCCATTCTCACCAGCAGTATATAAGATAACTTGTCGGTCCACATCCTTGCCAAATC